CTTGAAAATTGCAGTGAGTTATGTAAAATCGAATGCAAAATCTAGCAATCTTTGTTCAAAGAAAAGACAGAAGGAAACTTTTGGTGCAATTTGAGTACTAAGTAATGACAAACATAGTATCTGATTAGTGTCTAGTTAGAAACTAACTTTTTAAATATTTCACATCACATGCCAAGAAAATATATTTTCACTAGCACAAAAGTAAGATGTATAAATCAATATAGCTGGCCTCCAGGATTCCCATTTCTCTCTTAGAAAAATACTTCCACTAACCACCAGGAAAATTAATATGGACAAAAGCAGAGTAGGTACACACTTCGGGACCACCATGACTAAATAGAGATCCTGAAATGGTTGAACATGTAAGTTATACCTGTTGCACAAATTATTACCTCATACTTCAAAAGGTTACTAAGCTACCCATATAAGGAGATATACATCTGAGAGAATGAGTTCATTTTCCAAAGGCAAACATTCTCTTCAGTTGGATACTGTCGGTACTCTGCAATTGTGAAGGGAATGCAAATCTACTATAGATTGTAGGTAATATATCAAGTAAGAGACCAAAATGATGCACATTCCAAAATTCTCTTTCTGCACCTAATGGATTTCATCACCAGATTCTGTTGCAATGCCAAGTAGACAGAAAAAAGAAAGTTCAACATTTTATATACTATCCCTCGTAGAGGGAAAAAAGCCAACAATAAGCTTCAAAGTCCTGGAGATTCCAAAATGTAGTTTACCACCCAGCTCTACTTCAGGAGTAAAACAAAAGGAGACAATGCTATCAAATATAAATACGAGTTGATCATGAATAGTTAAGCACAATTTTCAGATTCTCCCTCTACTTATTTTCCTTGCAAGATTTTTATCTTTAAGTTATTCCTTCCCCAGCAATGCAATCATCTTGGTTAATTGAACCCGCATGATTCTTTAATACTGATTCTACCAAGTACGCTATCTACAGATGACCTGACATGAGAACTATGGCAGGACTAGATACACATGTTGTAGAAATTAGCTATAACAAGTTTAATCATGACATAGTTTTTTTTTTTTTCCAAATAAACCAAGTTAATGAAATCAAAGAAGGGCTAATTATATACCAACAAAGCAGCATGATGCTAGTAAAAGGATTATTCATTCAACTTTTGCCAAGCTGTTGTGCATTTTGTTTACCTAGGCTCATGGTTCCTAAACAACCGATATGCTGGATCCTCACTGCGGTAAACTTAAAGTATACTGAACTCCTTTTCCAGTTTAAAATTCAAGTTTCTCCAATACCTATAGGAAAATCCAAGAGCTTTGGCAACAAAGTCAGACAATTTGGTATATCAAAAAATATAGGAGTCTTGAACAAACATGCTCAGGAATCTGCAAAATGGGCCGCAAACAGCCTTTGGCTATTTGAGAGTTATTAAAGGGCTGTGAAGTCATTTATGAACAAAAAAATAGTGAGTCATTAACTGTCCTGTACACATTAGATCTGGCATACATTAAACTTTTCCTTCGAGGGAACACTCTCTGTTTATCATTTCTGTACTCACTGGCTTTTGTGCTCTTGCTCATGAAACTTAAATTCTATATATGGACTGCGTATTGCATTATAATATTTCAAGAAACACATTCTGCCAAGAACCCATCTACTACTTCCCTCCATCCCGCTTTCATAGTCAACCACGCTGTGGCCACGCTTCTTTGTAGAATCAATTCATGATTCCCTTAACTACATTATCCCTCATGTTTGATATAAGATAAAACAAAAGGTTGTAATTTTAGTGTTTGGTAAAGGAAGAATCTAATATAGTATACTAAATTATTGAATTTTTAAGAGTGTTGACATTATATTTGGGAAGTCTCAATTAGCAAGTGTGACAACATGAGTGAGACAGAGGGAATAATTGCTAGGGCATCCAAATACTTCACACCCTTTCTTTCTGAGTGAGAAGGTTGACATACGAGAATGAATAACTTCATGCGACTCCAAAATCTGTAGTACTACCACATGAGGCTCCAAAATTGAAAATTATCACAGCCTTTAAGAAATGAAAGAGTAAAACAGATAAAAGATACAGATCGATAAATGTAATAAACCAGATAGAACCAGAAAAAAAAAAAAACTTAATGATGAATCTTCATTGTTGATTCAGGATTAGGAGTCGAGTTGAATTTTAGATGAAGGATCAAAAACACCAAAAAGAGAAAGGTTAAGTGCTGCTCAAGTAAGAAGTCTCATGCGCTGACTTTGGTTCCAATTGCAATTCCAGAGAAGAATTCTGACTAGATCTTCAAGGATTCTTAGAATAGTGATAAAAAATTATGTAAAAAATCCACTTACTTTAAAAAATATTCTTGTGGAAGAGTGCAAATTCTCATCAGTAGTATCCTTTTAGGGGTTTTGTTCTCTTTGAAACTTTTCCATCATTTTCTGACACATGGATCCATGTCAATGCCTTCTTTTCCACAAAAATCAACACGCTAAGAGTCCCGAGAAGTGATTCAAAATAGTATTTCATGTCAAGAACAACAAATGAAATCCAACTGAAGTGCAGATGACTGATACCCTGTATGTCTGAACCAAATAACATGTAGATTGATCCCTTCAATGTCAGAATCGACATACTACTGCTCCTCTCAGTGTTAAAATGGAAAATTCAAAAGGTCAGAGAGTTTTGAATCTTCTGTCTAATGCAAAATGACAAGCACTAGCTTTCCTGTTTTTGATCTACTAATGAAATTGGATGGTAATCAGTTTAAGTTCAAGCAAACATGCATCCATTGCAACCCATCTATCGAATAGGTGTCAGCGTACACCGCACCATCAGACTGAAGCCAACCCAAGGTCAGCTTTTCAAATATAAAAAGGCACGCAGAATTGAAATATCAAATACCAGATATAATTTTTCCCGAGGAGGTCACCAATATAAGAAAGATATTACAGAGGAAAATGATGAGTTCTCAGGGCATTTTCAAGGAAGCACACCATTTTGAACTATCTACGACCTCTAATGCACCAAGTAGAATACATATTCCATTTAATAAACTTCTTCGTCCAAAAACTAAATTATACTGCTGAGCACAAAAAACAAAGTTCCTGCAAATATAAAGGTGAAGCGCCTACCATATGGACAATCAAATTTTCACTGTGCAAGATTCACTTACAAGAATATGTCAAAAACACTGACAAGAAAAGTACATACTTATTTTCATGCCATTACTACACAAAAATGAAAATAACTAGCAAGAAATGAGGGAATATATCAACATTCAAAAGAAGACCATCAGATTTTCATAATCCAACAAATCAAATAATTTCTGTTTCAACTTTTTGATTTGATTGGCAGAAGATATAAAAGTAGACAGCATATAAGACTGCATCGAACTGTGCGATGGCATAACAGCCACATCTGCCTCATTAAAAATGATTACATATACTAACCTACCTACTAGAAACTTCTCTTCTGACTGGACTGTAGACTTGATCTGCTAAGCTTTTTGACTGATGAATTTTGAGGATTCTCTCCCCAGTTTCCGTTGCCCCACCAACTGTTGATGAGGATTGTGTCCACTATGAGGTCAGGAGAATCTATAGGGGAACCTATAGACAAAGTTCTTCAACATTAAAATGCCATTAGCTTCAAAATATGGTTAAGAACTAAGAAGAAAGAAGCAAAAATTCCAAGTAAACATTACAGTCAACCTAAACATCAATAGAAAAGCTATAAATTTTCATGGGATTTGTTTTAAGATACAAAAATCATGAGTTGTAATAATTTGCCATTCCATAATTCTTACAAGCCAGCCAAGTTATCCAATTTTGGAGATGATATAGTTAAGGAACCAAGTTGTATTATACAACATAAAAATGCTTTCACTTTTTCTAAATCCTTTCTGATGTGTGGGTCAAATCTTCAGAGGTTTGACTGCCAGGATAGAAACAAACGACTGTTGAAAGTAATCATAGTCATTTACAGAAGATCATCAAAATCCTCAAAAAGGGCCAATACCAAATCTCTTAAATCTGGCCTCATCAACTTTTAGGATTTTGCTTGGTTGGGTTCTAACTGAGTATAATTACGGTCTTTGCAACTACATTAAATTTCTAATTCTATGGTATCACTCTTATCCTCTCCCCTACTCGAAAGTATGTCACACTCAAAATCCTACACAAATTCCTTGGAAAGTTTAAGAAAAAGGAGGTTAAAAATTCTGCATAGGAGCACATCCAGTCCTTTCATCCTACTCACTATCAAAACCAGACAGAGCAAAGTATTTTGTGCCCAGAAATCCCATTTTCGTCCAAAGTTGCAGTCAAAAGCCCCAGAACGCTTATCCAATGCAAGTAAAATTCTCAACTTTTTACACAACATATATGCATATACTTGTTACGGAATATCAACACTGAAAAAGGTAGACTGCTAATGATATCCAGTGATTTCCCAACAACAAAATACAATCTGAAATGGTATACCATCATACTAAAAGAGAATTAGTGATAAACAAGGATACATGTAAACTAGCCTTTGATACAGTTATAAGCTTTGATTTAAAATAGAAGCTTTGATTTTTTTAGCAATCAGATATGGAAAACTGAAAAAAGATAATAAAGACCATCTCTTTATGAACTTTTACTCAGCAATCCTACCAGATGAGGTAAAGAGGTATAAAGAAAATCCTCATCTGGGATTATACACTGTTCTAAATCATATAAAAGTTAAAGAAAATTGAATTACTTGATCAAGCCTAATGCCAGCAAGTATTTTCAAATTCAACATATCAAGCAAGTTAAGAAAAGGATTCACCATGAATTTATGCAAGACTGTAGCTAATGAACTCCAGACACCAATCTGAGAAGAACCCTTATCAGTTTACACCAATCTGAGAGAACCCTTTTAAAATTAAATATTGGATTGATACATAATGAGAGAACAATTGTGGGAATATTAGTACAAGCCAGTTTGGAAGTGCTCAAGGTATCAGAATCAGAAAGAGTAGAAATGGCAAGGAGAAAGAAAGGATGTTTTTTGCCTGTTAAAAGATGGGGTTTATAATTGTAATTAATTTGACAATTTCCCAAAAGTGGCAGGCAATTTGAGAAACCCAATGGCCAATCCCGTCTCTTTCTCTAGTTCTGCAATTGGGGGGTTCAAATTGCCATGGAGAATAAATTACGCCAGGGCAAAAGCCATCATGCCAGAGTACTATCCGATGAAATACCAACTCTACCCTCAGGTAGATCTATTTTCCTGTGTCTTGACTAATTAATAAGTGACTTCTAAGTTTTTTGATTAAGTGACTTCTAAGTTCGATTAAACATGGTGCTTGTTAAATGCAAATTTTCGTTGATTAGCAATTGGATGATTATGTTCAACTATACACAAATAGTTTATTGTAATTAGAAGGTTGAGTTCAAGACCTCCCACTTTAAAAAAAAAAAAAAAATTATTGTAAAATATGAAGTATAGATTTGTAATGCATTCTCGTACAAGTTGTTTAGTTTTTAGTATTTATTGTTAAATACATCTCAAAACATAAATAACTTTGTGTATCTATATTAATCATAAAAATCATTTCAACAGGTGAAAAAAGTTGAAGAGGAGTGTGAATAACAATTTTCAGAGTATCATTAACATCACCCTTTTGTATTTATGATGAGCGATAAGATAAGAATTACGTAATGAATCAAGTTTTATAGGATTTGCTCTTGATTGTTTGAATTGGTAATTACTATAAAAAGAAGTTTTTAACACCCAAAAATTCCCTTAAAAACATGCAATGATCCTAAAGTGTAAGCTTAATTAGAATATTGTGTCGTTTTATTTCTTAATTTAATGAAGAACATGAAATAATAAATTAAATGATAGATATTACCTACATTAGTATTAATTGGAGATTGGAAAAAAAACCCAAAAAATCTAGATCCATGCTAACGTTATTTATTATTTCCACTTATTTGGAGTTGCAAGAACTTCTCTTTTCCTTCTTGTCTGAGAAGAGAAGTAAATGTTAGCACATGGCTAAAACTTTGAATCTTGCATCACACTATGAAGGATATGGTCAGATTGATATTATCCTATCAAGAAGTTAATTATTAGTATATTAGTCGTTGGAAAAACATGCACAAATTTTCTTGGGTTTGCAATGCTTTATCTGATTTTTGAGTATGTATGAAGCTTAATATTGTAATTTTTATTATATATATATATATCCACTGTACTCCAGTGTCACGTGGCCGAAGGTCATTAGCCGCTTTTCAGCAGTGTGGGGCCATGGGCTGTTTTTCATACTTGTGACTGAGTTGTGAGTATCTCTCTCTCTCTCTCTCTCTATATATATATATATATATATGATACACACGTACACATACATAGCAACTTGTATCAAGCAGTTGTTTATGTTAAAAAGCCTTAACTTTAGCTTTTCTTGTCAACTTTACATGATGTAAGGAAAATAGATCTCGTTTGGATTGCAAGTTATTTATGAAAAATTTTTAAAATATTCTCTTAACATATTTTTTAACTATCTATTTACTTTATACACATTAGATCGTTATAGTAAATTTTTCTACGCAAACTTTCAGAAACTCTAATCCAAATGATTTATCACTTCAAATATAACCTCTACCTTCAAGGAAGTTGTTTAACAAGATTATCTTTAACTGCCATCAAACTGGCTTCGCAAAATATTTTACTCTTTAGAATAAAAACTAGTAAAAGAGAGTGCATGGCAATGATGAAAGAAGTAAAATAACTGTGTAACTTAACAAAGCGTTTAAGAAGAATAGCAAAGTTGCTTTCAAGAAATGGTTGGTGACCTATATTTCCTGGTAATTTGATAATGAAATTTAGATTATTTCTTAGGATAGGCAATCACTTGCCTGACTTTGGCTGTTGATGTCATTTTCTAAGCAAAATGTTATTATTTAAGTTCGCCCAGAATATTTATAAATGCTGTTTGTTGGTTGACCTATTCATATTTTAGAATTTTATGCAAAGTTTTAACTTTTGATTCTATTTTGACTATTTCTCCGCACACTCTAGTCCCATACATTATTATGTCAACTTGTTCTTTTTTAGACTATGTACAAAATCTGTTCCATTATCAAAAGCTCTTTTGAACCACTAAGAGCAGTTGCAAAAAAAAAAAAAAAAAACCACTAAGAGCTTTAACTCAATGGCCACCAGAAAGAAACTAATCCCCTTTGAGTCGTAGGTCAGGTTCAAACTCCACCTTCAATGAAAAAATCCAAAGAAGCTGTCGGAGCACGCCTTTGATCTAATTAGATCTATACCTGCTAGTTTCTTATACAGTCTCTTTAAGCCCCCTTCCCTGCAAATAGGATAAATTAGGTTATAAAAATATTATCGTTATGGCAAAAAAATAATAATAATAAAAGCTCTTTTGACTATTTTTCCCCTGTTTGTTTAGCTTACTTCAAGCTAAGATAAGGTGAATTTTGAGAATCAACCTTTATTTTTTTTATTTGAAAGTAATTTTTGGCTTCCAAAATCTTTCTTGTTGGAAAATGCTTTTAGATTCTAGCACTGCTGAATAACTTGGTCCATCCTAAACCCAATAAATTAAAAGCAAATTAAGAAGAATGTCAGATCCAAGCATAAACCAACTTAGATTTGACTATAATCTCTTTTTTTGGTAAAAGAACTTCAAAAGAACTAAAACCAAATTAAGAAGAACTAAAACCAATCATACTCTATCAAATTCATTAGGCAACATATATAGATCAGTCTAAAATTTAAGGAAAAAAATAAAAATAACAAAGGACATAATAGTAATGCACTTTTCTTTGAGGCTTTTTCCAAGAATACCAAGGTGTGTTTCTAAGGTTTGTTGCACCAGAAGCTTCAACTTAACTGAGGACCACAATAAGACATCAAGGTGGGGTCGTGGAGTGCCAATTGAACGAACATGTGCCCATAACATTGTTCCTTTTGGATTGCTCTTTCCAGTAATCCTTGCATTTTGTTTAATCATTGTTCCTTTTGGATTGATTGCTCTTTCCAATAATACTTGCATTTTGTTTAATCACTAATGCAACTTGAGTATTGAATTTCTCATTGTATTGCAGGCCTTTGTGGATACAATTACTTGCAGCATTTTGGCTTAATCACATCAAACCCCATTGTACTTTGGCGTTTGTTGCACTTTTTCCATGAAAATTCTTTCTATCAACATTTTGCCCCCTATAACGAATAGTTAATGCTTAGGGAATCCATAGTAACTTTCATGCCCTTGATATATATTGAGTGTCTAATTAACTAGCCCTTGGACATTAATTGCTAAGACCAACTAAAGTTTCTTTTCCTTTTCTCTTTAAACTTTATCTCTTCTTTTTTTTTCTTGCATTCTATGCTGCAATAATTTCGTCTCCTAATTACTTGTATATTCAAAATAATAATATTGATTTAGGGTGCATTTGATAAAACTGAAGTTTGACAACTGAAATTTGAAATTTGAAATCTAAAATCTGAATTCATTAAGTTATTGAATTGTTAAGTATTAAATCAAATACATTTGAATGTAATTGCATTCAGTGATAAGTGAATAGGTTATTACTTATTTTTCTTAGAAATTCAGTGCCACTTATTAATTCAAACAGTTTAATTTTTGGCTATCAAACGCATCTTAACATATTATGATTTGAATTCATCAAGTTTAATCAAATAGGCCTTACTTTAACAAAATTTTTGTGCATGAGTTGGCTATTTATTTGTTATTTTTAAACCTAATAACTAATGCATATAATCTTTACCTTTATCGTTATATGTTTTCAACATACAATTACTAGATTAAACACAATTTTATACATAGGGAAACTTTAATTTTGTAGGTCTTAACAATGGGAACTTACATGCCAAAATACCATGACAAAAATAAAAGAATCAGGTACGACAAATCTAAAATAAAAATTCCAAGTATCCAATTATTTGTATCAAATGGAAGGAAATTGTGGTAGATAACAACAATTAAAAAAAAGAAGAAGAAGAAGAAGAAGAGAGGAATGTAGTTCTAGGCACTTACTATGTAAGAATAGAAATCAATATATCATCTTTTAGGACTAAATTGCTATCAACTTAAACTCTTAGGTATAGGAGCAAATTGCTAATACAAAGAACTTAGCGGTCAAAGTGCAACAAGAACATAATTTTAGTGGGGTTTAATGTAGTTAAGCCTAGTATTGCTTTGAATAATTTTCAGACGACTATCTTAATAATCTCATATTGCTTCTCATATTGAGTTTTACTAAAAGTGCTTATAACAACAAAATATCTACTTCTAATTTTATGGGATGGTGTTTGTCAAACGCCTCAAAAGTACTTTTACCACTTAAAAGTGATTTTTTATCAAAATCATCGTAACTCCAAACGAGGCTACATTACATGGTGGAGAATTACTTAAGGAGATGCATTGTGCTACCTCAAACTGACTAACTGATTCTTAAACCCAAAAACAAAGTACCAAAAAAGATATTAAATTATTGTGAGCTTAGAAATTTGGACCAAATCAACTAAAATACCTCAAATAAATTAGACATACAACTGCACCATTTGAATTGTTGCTGCTTGGGAACCCCAATATTTTCCTTTTAAACAACAACTGGGAGTCGCGAACCCAAAGGAACCAACTCTTTGGTCCATTTGATTAATCTGAATTTAGCCGAATTTACACACTCATATAGAGATTGGCGTAGAAGTTTTTTTTTGTAAGCAATTTAGCGGAGAAGATAAGGATAAAAAAACAATCAAGTAGAAAACCAATACATAATTTAGAACTACAACTATTTTTCACTTTGGTTTTTTAACTGGGCATAAGTGCACGGAATTCTGGCCCCTGCAAATGGTCACAAAAAATGTAGTATGACTAGGGTAAGCTACACTAACTCTACTCTCTTCTAGTTTTTTCAAAAGTTAAATACCTCCCAGTCTAGGAAAGATTGCTGTAGGTTATTCATCGTCACTCAAGTTTTCTGGATCTCCACCATAGGCCTTTGACTTCTTCAATTACCAGACATTCCTTTACCCTTCCTGTCTTTCTTTCCTTTTCTTTTTTCTTCTTTTGTGGAAGGAATCATAGCTTTGGGAATTATTTTGTACCATTAAAATTTGGTTCGCACAGATTTTAATTTTATTTTGTAGACATCATTCTTTTTGAATTAATATTCTTAAATTTGAAATGCATTTACTTTGAATTTTCCATAACAAACATGAAGTGGATGATCTTGTCTTATGTTGGAAATTTGTGACTAACTTGCACGCAATGTTATCTAGACTCAGGAGCATGATATCGGATGAAAACCCTTAACTGAAACCTACTTTATAAACTTAACCGACAAGCATAAAAGAATGACAACTTCTAACATAGTTTTCGTGTGTTTACCTTGTTTTACTGAGGCTTCCCTCTTTTGTTTAAACTGATTTCTATATCAATGAAAAGAATTTTTCTAAAATAAAAAGAAATTCTTACATATTTTTTTGAGAGTAGATCTGTGGCAATAAATGTTGTTCTAGTAGTGCATATATTGGTTATCTTAGTGGACACATTTATGGTGCTATTACATATTTTTGTAGAGTATAATTGCAAGTCCTTAAGCCTACACAAATGTTCAATTTTCTAGCTTTATTGGAATATACAGGGATGGTGCTACATTGATAAAATTGTGCATATACAAAGATGTTACAATACAAACTACAAGAGTTTTCTGACTAAATTCTTGAGTCTTGGGAAAATTGTCATAGAATTCAATGTTTAGAGGTGGCAAAATGGATATTTGGATCATTAACGGTTCATCTAAATGGTTCATCGATCAAATTGATCTAGTCCACTTAGACCCATTTACTAAATGGTTATAAATAGATTGTACTTAAATGGATAATGGTTATCCAATTATCTGGTAGCAATCCATTTAATTGAATACGTACCTGTTTCTTACCTTTTTTTTTTTTTTTTTCTACTTACACCCATTTACTTGAAGAACACTCAATCCTCTATTTACCACAAAACTAGGATAGAAAAATTGCATGAATTAGAAAAGGTGAATGAAGTGCATATGCATGAGCAATGACCGGTACAGACGAACACCTCAACCACATAAAGGTTTGGATGATGAGGGAATAAACAGTGGATATAAGAGTGGTGAGGATCAAAGTTGTGCTGCACTTTTCTTTTTCTTTTTTTTTTTTTTTTAATTTGGAGTCTGTCATTTTTCCCCTGTAAGAAGAACCCTATAAGAAGAACCCTGGCCAGTCTATTCTTTCATATCTTTCTTTTGTAAACCTTTTGAGAGCTATTTTCTTCCATTTTCCCCTAACCATATTCCCAACCATTTAGCAACAACAGTAGGATGACTACTGTCCTGGCCTTACTTGCGCTGTTTTTGCTTATTGCTAGGATCTCAGGTATATCTCAACCTCTCTAGATGTTCCTGGCTTGTTTCCACGAATCATATGTGCATGCAAATGACTATTATTTTAATTGATCTCCTTTTTTTCCCTTTTTTATATATTTTTTTAAAAAACTAGTTTCAAACATATAGGCGTAATGAAATATATAGAGTCTAGTCTGCAAGTGAATATGTACTTATGTAGCATATAAACTAGACCACTTTAGACAATTAACCCTTTCCTTTACTTAATATTATTTTCTTCATGCACCTCATGTTAACTAATGAAGATTTAATCTCAATTCCAGATTGTTTTAAACTGTGCAATGTATCATAATTACATCTTTACAATTGCAACTGGATGATATTTGATTGGGAGTTGAGACTCATCCTTCATTCATGTCTACACTTTCGAAAGTTTGTAGTGGTTATGAGACGAAGAATCTTTGCTTACACAGTGGCAAATGTATCTTTTTTTTTTTTTTTTTTTCCGAAAACGATAGATGAATTTTATAACAAACAAGACTTTACAATATTTGAGCAACGGCTCAACTACCTATACAAAGTGTACAATGACACTAAGGAGATACAACAAATCTCTCCTCATCCATGACTATGCTTGAAGCATAAAAACTAATTGTTTTACATAGAGCCATATTAGTAGATTTTCCTTCTTCAAAAAAGCACATGTGAAACAGATTTGCAAGAGCAAGTATGTCTTCCACCAATGTAGCTATATTCGGGTTGTTTCCCTTCCCAGTTTTCAGCAGGCCAATAAGTTGTTTATTGCCATTTATGACTTTGATCCTTTGCCAACCGAGCTGAGCTGCTTTGATAAGTGCGAGACGCACTGCTACAGCTGCATCTTGGATGTCCATATGTGAGCTTCTGTCCACAAGCGCCCATTCAGCTCTGATTCTGCTATCTTTCTGTTTGGACACAACCCCAATTCCCATCTTGTGACCCGATGATGCTTTATGTGTTGCTACATGAAGTTCCATCAGGTCTGTTGCCTCTATTTGTTCCTCCCCTTGGCTTGCATTTGTTGCATCTGTTTCTGATGTACTCCTAGCTCCATTAGGTTTTTTTAGAAAGAGCAAAACACCACTTGATTTCATAGCTGATTCAAGCAGTGAGCAGAAATGCATGTCCAATATAAAATATGACATTGTATTTAAGCATTTTGATTTCTTTTTACAAAGTAATGCAACTGCTTTAACTTTTTTATATTGATCTCAAATATTTTTATTGCACCATCCGTGATTGAACATTTTCTGCAATGTTCATACGTGAAGAAAAAGGTCATTGATGAGCTTTATAATTAGTTAATCATGATAGGTATCATACATCATTGCGCAATATTGCACATCTCAAGTTTTTAGAAGGAAAATGAAATTTACGTACCCATTAACCGAAACTTTTTGTGCTATGAAATAGTGAAAAGGGCCCGTAAAAAAAAACAAGTATGTGATTCACAAACAAATAAGAAAGTGAATGCGACACAATCCATATCTCCTAGAATTCAATGCTTTGATTTGAACTCTTTAAGTGATTGAACTATTGTCCGTCAATTTTTGTGCAGGGGCACAATATATAGGCATCTCTTATGGGCTAAATGGCAACAGTCTACCCTCAAAACAAGACGTTATCAATCTTTACAATCGAAATGGCATCCACAGAATGCGAATTTATGCCCCTGTCCCTGAAGTTCTCAATGCTTTAAGAGGAACCAACATAGAGCTTCTAGTTGATGTTGCCAATGAAGACATTCAGTCCATTGCAACCAATCCTTCAGCAGCTGTAAATTGGGTTCAAAACAACATAAAAAAGTACTCACCAGCTGTGAAGTTCAGGTACATATCGGTTGGAAGTGAAGTACCATTGAGTTCTAACATTGCTCAATATGTTGGCCCGGCCATCGAAAAGATACAGAATGCATTAGCATCGGCAGGTCTTCAGAACCAAATCAAGGTTTCAACATCAATATCTGCAGGTCTGCTAAGCGTTTCTTATCCTCCCTCGCAAGGTTTGTTTTCGAACGAGGCTAAACCATTCATTAAACCTATAATTGATCTGCTAGTCCGAAATAATGCACCGTTGCTAGTCAATGTGTACCCCTACTTCAGCTATATTGGTGACCCGGTCGACATTTCACTAGATTATGCATTGTTTACCTCAAGAGGTATTGTTGTTCAAGATGGTTCGTTTGGATATCAAAACATTTTTGATGCAATTCTGGATGCTCATTATGCTGCTCTAGAAAAAGAAGGCGGTTCTAGTGTAAACATTGTTGTATCCGAAACTGGCTGGCCATCTGATGGAAACCCTCCTGCCGCTTCATTTGCAAATGCAGGCACTTACTATTGGAACGTGATTAGCCATGTTAAGAGTGGAAAAGGGACCCCAAGAAGGCCCGGAAGAGGTATAGAAACTTATCTGTTTGCCATGTTTGATGAAAACCAGAAGCCTGGAGCGCAGACAGAAAGACATTTTGGCCTCTTTTTTCCAGATCAACAGCCTAAGTATGGAATTGCTTTCGACTAATTCAAGTGTCATGCATGACAAGACTACATGTAGTATGAAAAAGACTTCTTATATTTGTCATACTTCATTTGGACATGAGGAGAGAGATATTTTCTTTAGCTCTGTAGTAATAAAAGCTCCATAGAGATGCTTTCCTAATGTAACGAGGATGAAATGGATTAAAATAATGCGAGTTTTTCTGATCAAGAGCATGAAACAGATTTATTTTCCTTAACTTGATCTTTGCCGGTCATTGATATGATCTTATTTGTCAAACTCGGAAATTGATCTGTGATAATGGTTCCACTTCATTTGTTTCATTTCTTTTGTTTTTATTAAGCAAATTTATTAACCATTTTCCAAATTTATTAAGCAAAAAACCCTATGCTACATGTGTTGGTTCTAGGCTAAAATAATCAGATTAGCTAGAATAATTTTCCAAATCAAATTTAACAAAACATTGGACAAAATTAACCTTACCTCCATAGTGCATGAAAAATGTAAGAATTTGTTCCATTTAAAGTAAATTTGGCATGGGTTAAGGTGTGGACTAGGTCGTTCTATTCAAGATATACGCCTCTACAAAATTAGTGTAATAAGCTACAATAGGTCTCAAACAATTCGTGCCCTTATAGAATTAGTATAATCCGGTGCAATAGGTTTCAGACGATTCACACGCTTATAATCTAGTGTAAAAGGTTTCAACTCATCGTGTTCAAGATAAATAGCCCTTATAGAATTAGTGTAATCCAATGTAAAAGGTCTCAACTCATCGTGCCAAGATAAACAACCCTTATAGACTTGGTGTAATCTGGTGTAATAGGTCTCTGCGAATCGTATCCAAGATAAACAACCCAGTCTTATCTCATTATTGTCCACTCCAATTTACACAACCTTATTTTGATTGTTGTCCACTCCAATTTACCCATAGCCTTTATCTCACTATTGTCCACTCGAATCTACACACTGAAACCTAGAGTTAGACTGAAACCTTACTATTGTCCACTCCAATCTATACATTGAAACCTAAAGTTAGACTAAAACCTTACTTAACACTCTAATTTATCCGATATACTAGGGGGAAGTGCCCACGCATTGCGCGGGAGTTAGATACCTGTGGTTAAAGAGAATTTTTATTGAACAAATAATAGTGCATTTTGAAAAGAAATAGTCATCAAATATGATAAAACTAATAATAGTGTATTTTAATTGCAGCACAAACTTGTACAATTTACTTTATTAATGCTTTTACACTTTTACCATTTTCAAAAGGCCCCTACAGAAGTTGAAAATCACCCAAGATCAGACATAAGTGGTTTCAGACAAAGAAATATCCTCCAACAGTTAGTTATAGCAATGTGTTAATTGCACAACGTGTTAATATGTCTTTGTGTTAATTGCACAACAAAAGCCACACTTGAATTAAATGTGTCTATGACATCATTTCAGTAATTACACCAACACATAAACATATATGAGTTGTATTCGACACAAAAATGATTGCAAAAAAATTTCATATTCTAAAAATACCCAGATGTCTCCATAAATCAAGGAATAATTTCAGAAACCTCTCTCAAGATTTCTTATAATATCACTCAGCTCCTCTGAGGTTTTTAAAATCTCATACCTCCCTTGAATTGACATTTCTTGTAACACTTTAATCCCTTTAGAGAAAATACAAGAAAGATAAAACTTTTGTTGCAATACTACCCTTATATTATCCAACTTATGAAATTTATAACAACAATAAAAAAATAAAATAAGGTTAAATTTCTTGACCTAAACTATTTATTTTAGTTGTATTGGAATAAAAGTAAAATTTACACCTTGAAAAATTCACACTTATGAAGAGATTATTTTAGTTTTCAATATGACTTAAACGACACCATGAATTAAAGCATATTTTTCCAAAAAAATCTTGACTTCCTTAATTGTAACTATGCACGAAATTTTTAAAGATATTAATTACTCTCTAAAATCCTCCTAAGTGGTTGATCTTGATTAGATTTAATTTATTTATATCCTTTATTATTCCACCATGACTCCAATGTAAAGAAATATGGATCATTATTAGTTAGTAATTTATTTTTTGGGTAAATAACAAAAAAAGCCCCCTATAATATAGTTATCTTACAGAAAAATCTTCTGAGATTTCAAATCACACATCGGTATCTCATGATTTAAAGTAAAGTGAAAAATCAATGATAATCGTTAAATTTAACGCGTTTGATGTAAATGCACTAGAACCATGTGTGGTTCTTCCAAAAAATAGTTTTTTAAGGCAAATTTTGACATGAAATACCTATTTTGCCCCTCATACCTTAATAAAACAACCATGATTGTTCTTCAAATTTGCTCCAAACTTATGGAAATCGACGATTTTTGCTTATATTATTAGTGAATGAAACTAATAAATCAAAAACTGTTTGTTTTAGGCTATTTTTTGCTTATATTATTAAGGCATTTCTATCATTTCATTCAAAACTATTTGTTTTAACGATTTCTGTCAATGTTTCAAATTACTTCAAATCATGAGGTACCAACACGTATGATTTGAAGTCACAAGGGGCTTTTCGGTAAGATAGTTATACCACAAGGAATTTTTTTGTTTTTTACCCTTATTTTTTAAATTTACATTTTTTGCTTTTAAAATTTTATTTTGTTTTGACTTTTTGGTTAAATAGTTATTAAGAGTAAGGGTAATGTTGTTAATTTGTGACATTTGATAGGAATATTTAGTCTTGTCAAATTGACAAGGAAGGTAAGTGAGATTTTAAAAAATTGAGGGGAGTTAAGTGATATTATGACAAACCTCAGGGGAAGTTTCTGAAATTATCTCATAAATCAAAGTTTTAAATGTACCAAAATGAGGATATTTCGGTAAATATACCTAAACACATGCTGTCCTCGGTTGTGCTAAAAGTTTAAAAAAAACTATATAACATTCTATATTCCCAAAAAGCCCCTATTTATACCGTTGAAATTCAAACCCCTCTCTAATCACAACTCATTTTTATATAGTATAAAGAAATTCAATGTCTTTCTTACACTTGTTTTACTAGTAGAGACCATACCAAAAGAATCTCCTTTTGTGTACTTTGTTCAACATATGTTTAGTATCTTTTTTACACTTGTTTTAGGAGTAGAGACTATACTACAGGAATCCACTTTTGATTAGGATCAACAAGTGTAGAATGTGGATTCAAGACATTTATGTTAGAACCTCTATTTATAGGTTGTAAGAATGTAGGAATGCTAAAATATCTCCACCTTATCTGGCAATAGGAGATACAAGATATAATCACATAGTCACATAGTAGAGTTAGTCACCAAATATAACCATTCGAGTAATGGAAAGGAAAACTAAATTCATTTAGTGTAATATATGTACATTATCTTACACATGAATATTTTGCTATATTATTGTGCACTTAACACTCAATTGGATATAACTTTTAAAATGCAAGCATGTAGATGTATGCTTGTGTACATTAAGTTATCTTCCTTTTCTATGGATTTCATTAGGTTATACACAATTAAGTTTTAAATGACTTAGATTTTTAAAACAATTTTTAAACTAATTCAATAAATGGGCAACTTCCCTACAAGCATTTACAGCTACTTACCTTCGCTAGTTATTCCAACTTAGGAAAACTTGAAACTTGAATCCAAAAGTTGTGGTGGAATTTTTGTAGTAGCAATAGTAGTTAGGACAAAGTTGTATTAGAATTAGCCTTCTGTTACTCTTACACGATCTTTTTTAATTTCTAAAAATAATTTTTTTCTAGCACAGAGGAATGGGATTCAAGAAGTAAGGAGGCGGAAGGGGATTAAAACTTAGGATCTTTGAGTCCTGAAACCTTGTTCTTAGCCACTATCTTTTGCATTTACTGTCTAATTAGACTAATTTAAAACGATAGTGCTCTTTATGCTTGAGAATATATTTTTGTTGACATGAAATGCTTGAATGGACTTTTATGGGGATTTTTGAATAATTTTCTTTAGATGTTAGAGGATGATGAGTTCTTTATCATTCTAAAAAAATATTATTCTGTAATTTTTACTAGATCATAATTAAAATCAAACAATTTTTATTTTCTTTTTCTTGTTTTGATTTATTTATGGACTTTGAAACATATTCCAATTGCGTTTAATACTTTAATTCAATTGGCATTTCATTTCATCTCAAAATTTCAACTATTAACTATTCGACTCCCAAGGGCCACATTCACCTAAATTCCAAATAATGAGGACCAAAAATGCAAAGCCTAATTATTAACGAATGATAATTTGATTTTGACACTAGACACCATTGAATTTTCATCAATGTCCAACCATGCCTATGCCTATTGGCTGAAAAAAGTTTGCAGAAAGGGAGAGAAATAACTTGGATGTGCTCCTTGTATATGGTATCGCCAGAAATTTATTTATAAAGGCTCCATTGCCTTGTTGAAGGTTCTCGATATGGATGGCAACGGGACAAGGTAGGGGTGAACCCATTGCCAAATAACTCCCCGTCCCCGTCTCCTGCCCCATCTCCCAGCCCTCAGCCCTGCCCTGCCCCGTTTCCACCGTGGGGGAAGAAGCCAACAACAAAAATATATGCACACAATGGTGAACTTTACAAGAAATCATATACTAAAGCAAAATTATGAATAAACATGAATAAATGGATTGCTGATGATTTAATAGAGCAAACAGCATATAACAAACTATCATCAAATTCTCCACTCTAAAAAGTATCACCTAAAGAAAATATTTAAAAAAACATGCTTCCCAGTCTCAAAATTGTTAATGATTCAACTAACCCAAGAGATAAGAGATAACAGACACATGATTCTATTTTATGTTATTTTTAATCAATCCAACAGATTAATGGCCATGTAATCAAATTGAAAACAAATCTGTAGTACCCCTGCCCCTGCCCCATTACTCTCCGGTGGTCATCCATCTTCATTGCCATTCTTAGTTCTCACGTTTTTTGGTGTTAAATTTTAATCCCCCTCCCCCTCCTTGTTTAT